CTTGTAATGTAATATTGTTTAAATATCTCTCTATATATGAAATTACACTCTGCCACGAATAAAGAAGTAAAGGGACTCAGCAGCCTTCTCTCTGTTTTAAAGGTGACAGCCGAGTAATCAGCTCTACCAAGTTAATTCCCCCACTATCTTGGCTATTGTGACGTAGCAAACGGGACCACGCCCATACAAGGCAAAACGGCCCGAAACACAAGCTACGTCATAATTAATGTAATATTTTTCATATCAAAGGTAAAACTATTTGTGCTGCAATTGCATTAGTTTTACCTTTTGAAAATAATATACCATCAGAATGTTTGTAGAAATAAGAGAAAACATAACTAGTTGTCACAAAGCCTTTGCTAATGCTTCTGGGATGATCAAAGGGAAACAGTGCATTTAGATCAAAACACATGTCAAAGATGGAGAAACTAATTGTAAACAAATGTAATACAATGAACACTTTTTTAAAGGATAACTTGTTTCATTCATTCAGGTAAATTGATATCAAAACAATATACTGTATGTCAATTATACATAATCCCACCCATGCTTGTGAGCTGGAAATACAATTTTGTGAGTAGATATAGTTCAGCAAAGATCATCGTTTAGTAATTAAAAAAAATAAAAATAATAGTTTATCACATTGATTTGGTGCGCATTAGAGTCTACATTTGGTCTGACGCATTATTTTCAAGGCATATTTTATTCGTGTTACAGTAGTTAAGGAACCATATAAATAGTAATTTCTGATTTAATGTTGATTCATCTGTGTGTGAAAACAATTCAGTGAACAAATCTTTGTAAAATAACTCCGTGAATAGATCCTTATAAAATACCTTTGTCCTTTTTACTTCTGTGAATAAGATTTTAAAACGCATACACGACACTGGCCATTGCATGCATTGGGCAAACAGCCTGCCCAGTGCATACAACGGCCAGTTGCACAGATTGTGTGTAACAACACAACAGCATGGAAGACACAGAAAGTATCTTGTTTGAGACAGCCTCTTGACATTACAAAGGCAACAGGTACTTGGATGGCTTTAAACAACTGTCTCAGATGGTTATCATAATACCACTCATTAGATCAGGGCCCAGTCTACCAGCCTTGCATGCTGAAGTTCAGTATCAGGGGAACAGGTGATCTGCAGGTTCCAATGGAGGTCCCAGAAAATGATTACCAGCTTTTATTTACGAAATATGCAACCAGATTTAGAAGGGCATTTCATCCTTGGGACAGTGGTGACAGAGCAGTCTATTGTAACACAGTAGCTTCCTCCACCTTGTTGGGGAAAAGGGAGGTGGGGACAAGTACTTCCTGCTGCAACAGCCTTGGTAGGTAAGTTAACCTTCTGAACCACATTGTCTACAAGGTGTAGGACCTAGTATCACGCTCAGAAGTCATGGTGTAAAGGCAACTGGAAGTGACATCGTAACCAGAAGTGGTGGCATAACTGGAAGTGACATCATCAGAACCGGAAGTGATGTCATGGACTTCTAGGATCAAACTGATAAGGTTCATTTGATGACATGAAGGTCAACAAAGTATGTTTGCTTATGTCCTTGACAATATTCTGACAGTTAGGCCAAAAATTTGATCAAAATAATGGTACGAGGGCTGGTCAAAAAATTCTAAGCCTAATAAACAAAACCAACAATTGTGAAAGTTTTCATTATATTTTTCAACATAATTTTCCTGCTTTTCAATAGACTTCACATATCAATAGTGAAGCTTTTAGATTCTGAAAGAAGTTTTCTGAAGCAACCCTGAAAAACCCATTCACGGCAGCTTTGATGTCATCGTTGTCATCAAAGTACTTTCCATGAAGGTGTTCTTTCAGTTCAGGAAACAGGTGGAAATCACTTGGTGCCAGGGCTGGTGAGTATGAAGGATGAACAAGCTCTTCAAACCCACACTGTTGCACAGCTGCCTTGGCAACCTGAGAGGTGTGAGAAGAGGCATTGCCATGAAGTAATAGAACTCCAGCAGTCAGCATTATTCGCTGCTTTTCTTTGATCAAGTCTCTCAGGGGATGAATTTGAATTTCTTTGGTCCCAGGGGAAGTGGAATGGTGCCATTCCATGGATTGACGTTTCGACTCGGGATCATAGTGGTAGACTCATGTTTCATCACCCGTAATTAATCTCTTTTTTAATTTGACGAAATCCTCCTTAATTAACTCTAAATTTTCTCTAGCAGTGTCAGTTCTTTTTTCCTCAAGATCAGAATTTAGAAACTTTGGCACCCAATGAGCAGATATCTTATTCATCTGTAAATGTTCATGTATAATAGTTTCAATGGATCCATAGCTTAGACCTGTTTCTTTCTTAAGTTCAGTAATGGTAATACAGTAAACTACGTTTATATCCAACACACTTATGACAAACTGACAGACATAAACTGTTTTTTGGTCCCATCCATTTGCTGTATTTATTTTGTTAGTATGCTTTTCATGATGAACTACGGTTATAATGAACTAAACTTAGTGGTCCCTTTGAGTTTATGACCCTAGTTTACTGTACATCTATCTGAAAGTATAATCTCCTTGATTGAATCGTCATTGATTTGGAAGTTGAGGGACATCCAGACCAAGGGTCATCATCAAGGCTTGTTCTCCCAGCCTTAAATGTAGCTGTCCAACGTTTAATGGTGGAATAGCTGGGGCTCATATCTCCATACACTTGTGACGAGCAGTCATTAATTTCTTGGGGAGTTTCTCTAAAGTAAAAAACATGATTGGTACTCCTTCTTTTCCATTTCTGTGTCCATTTGGACCCCTATCACGTTCAACTGGCTGTCACTAATATACAAACGGTTTCAACAGACCAAATTCACTTGCAGTAAACTACTCAAACAATGTACTACATTGACTAGTTCACTTTGTTATGACGCATTGTTGAAAGTTAGTTAGACTTAGAACTTTTTGACAAACCCTAGTAATAGAGTTGATTTTGGAAACATAAGGTACCCAAAAATGAATTTAGAAAGGAAGATCCAAAATGAAGTAAGCACAAAGTTTGGGTTAAAGTTTCTTCTTTAGTTCTGTAGATCTGTTGATTGTTACTGTATATGACCATAGGTAGGCCGAATTCTCATCACCAGAAAAAAAGAATCTGTAGAAAGGATTTGGCTTTTGTATGGTTTACACTTTCATGTATTGTCTCGTAAACTAAGCCGGAAATAGCAATCAGTTGTACACACGTTTTCTCTCAATCTACCAGTGATTACGTTAAAATATACCCATTAATATAATGGAGAAGAATTTTTATGCAATGATAGAAAAAAATAGTATCTTAAATTTCTATTTTCTAGAAATAATATATTCCGATATTTTATTTTAATTGCAGGGTTTACTTTTTATCTTCAAAATAATGATAACCGTAACCAGGGGCATGCGGTAGCTCTTTTGTGTATTGTCAGGTACCTTTTTCGCATGGAACAATTTGACAAATCATTGTTTTCCATTGCAAAAATAATATGTAGACATTTGATCAACAAACTACAACAAATATTACTTTTAATGAGTCAAAGTATGGCAGTTATGATATATATGTATCCATTCTCTGTCAACTAAGGTAAAGCGGGCCTTATGAAATGGAAACAAAAGTTGTGAGTATCGGAGGGAAATTAATGTTAATATTATTGATTGAAATTGTGATTAAAATTAATAAAATAGAATAGGTAAATTACAAACATAAGTTGAGATATACCATGAACACTTTTTATTACTGATGGTGTAACGACAGGATTAACTTGCGTAATTCAGTATAGATTTGTTGATATTCTATTTTCGATGACGGGTCATGATAAGACATAGTTTTAGGTAGGGGTCAGGCCTGTGTACCACACGTAACCTTTTGATACAGACTTCAAGGACCAAGTTAAGTTCATCAATGAGATTGGCTTATCTACGGTCATATACAGTAACTATTTATCTGCGGTCATATTCAGTAACTCTCCAGATGTCAGAACCCGCCAGGCCCCCTGGTGTAGTCATGCAATGATGTAATAGAGGTAGGGTATTTGAAGGAAATATCAAACAATAGCTATCATTGTTAATATTTCAAAGAATACTACCTCTATTACATCAGGAGTAATCCCACCCACCTCCCAATATCTGCATTTAGATGGCGGAGGTTGGGGAAAAAATGTGGTTTTCCATCTCACGGATGTGCAAAAGGCTTTGGAAGCAAGATGCTATCACTTGCACAACTTATTATGGATAGTTGATAGTGAAGAAGACTTCTGTTGAAAACGGAAAGATTTCTGGAAAAGATTTAATGGAGATAGTATTCATGGAATTATTAGAAATAAAACTAATGTTTGATGCTTGTTTGTTGTTTTGCGCTGCAATCACCGTTATCGCATATTCTAGGGACCAAGAATGGTACTTCAGTCATTGTGAGTGATTTCGATCCTGTATGTTGTTCTTAATATTTTATGTTATCGCATCAAAATTTACCAAGTCAAGGGACAGTTGAAATGGTGGTTAAACAGTGTAATTTATATTTTGTATTGAAAGCATTTTTCTGGTATTGTTATGTATAAGTAATTTTAGTACAATAGAAACTGTTGTAGCAATTGTCAGTTGAACTACTTGTTCAAAAATATGGCTTGTTACTTACTGCTGCTGCCAGTTATTTGTCACATTGCATTACTTGATTCAAATTACAACCTGATCCATTCCTCATCACTTAAATAACATTCATTCATATATATTTTGTTCTTGATAACATAATCCCTGGGAATTCTTCCGAGGCTATGTCATTGCACACATCACTGTTATGTTACACTTTCACAGGTTTAGCAACAAGATAATCTTTAGAAACAAGCCTTTAACTTTCAATTACATTATGTTTTGACTTATGTGTGACTTCTATGCAAATATATTATCTTTGTACTTGTGTGTGCGTTGGAATAGAAAATGCCCCATCAAGTTTGATCCTTCTCTGCTTTCAGATTATATGTTTGTGAAATGTTAATGACTTTCTGTTACTAGTGGCTACGGGTTTTGCCATCCAGCCGACAGAGCTTCAACAGGATCTATGGAGAGTGCCCTTTCTGTAGCAAAGTAAGGAATGTTTATTTTAAGTAAATCTTTGTTGAGCTAAGCTGGAGGACGATATGAGCTTACTCTTAAATATTGACTTTAAGTTGCTTGCAGAAAGTACCTATAAACTTTCTTGTCTGTATCCCTACAACTGTGCATAAATATGGAGCAATGAATTTCTAATAGTATTATTATAGTCCCACCCTGACAATGAATAGCCGCAAGGTGGCAGTGTTTCAGTTTCCAACAGTGACTGGCAACGTAAACACAACAGAGTGTCTAGAGAAGCTTTTTCAAAACCAAAGACTGTTAAACTTTGTATGAACTTGAATGACTTGTGTACATGTGACACATTTGATGCATTTGTGGTCAAATTGTGGTGTATATATTTTCAGCAAAAGAGCAGCACAACAACTGTTATAGCTGGGAGGCTTATATGTTTAGTTTTGGTCACTTACATTCAACAGTCAGATTATAGTTTTAAAACTTAAATTATTACACAGATTTTTCAATAGTCTTTAGGAAGAAGCCTAAATTGAAACACCAGAAGTTGAACAATATTTCTTAACTTGACTACAATATATGAATATGTCACATGTATCAACATAATGATGCATATAACCAACTGATAAATATCCTAAGTAACGAAACAAAACTAGGTGTTTTGACCTACAATAGGCCTATCTCGATAAAATTTTACTGATGATGAAGGAAAAATCCGATACACATATACACATATTCCAAGACAATTTTAATTATGTATTTCTTTTTCTTTCACATAATTTTCACTCACAAAATCAGTTTGATCATTAGATCCACATGTGTCCAATGTATTTTTTGTTCCATGGATTTGGATAGGATACACTTCGCAAACAAGTTTTAATACATAATCTGGCATCACTTCCTGTTTGGTTCACATCAATCCTTCATCGGCTGCTACGTTTGGTAACTGTTTCTTCAAGTCCAAGCATCTATGATCTCTCCAAACACTTGGTCTATTCAGCTCAGTCCAGAAGTATTTGTAGCGCTGTCTTCGAAAAGACGAAGCCTGTGTTGTGTCACGCATGGTTGACAAAAGAAATGTGAACTGACATAATTACCTTCATCTGGTTCCACAATGAAATCTCACTGTGACACTGATCCACTAATCCCAAGAATCGGCCCTGAATTTGTGACAGATTCTGATGCATTTGTAAGGGTGGGAAGAGAGGCGCCTTCATGTTGATTCGAGTTGACAGCCAGAATGATGTCATCTTGAATTGGAACTTTGTCCACAACAAAGTGATCAATGTCATAATTGAAATGACCATTAGCTCCCTTAATCATCTCAAACAATGAAAATGTTTCGTTGCTCATATGAAGACAAGCGAACTTGCAAAGTACTTGACAGTTGTCGTTAGCAGTAATCCAATCCGGATGTACTCGGGGCATGGTTGCTTGGAGATTTCGTGGTCGGAAAGGGGTAAAACAAAAGGTTTTAGAGAGTAATTAGAAGAAATCTTCAGTGCAATCCAAAAATACCATGCACAACATGTCTTTAGAATATTATTCACGAAAACAGTTCTTTCCTAAAAATGCAAATAAATTAATCACTATTCAACCTGAAGTCATAACCCTGATCACATGGGTGTGTGTCAAAGGAATCTTGTGATGAAGTTTGTCGAGGCATTGACATTATGACAGATGCTCGTCATGGATCAGGAAAGAAATCACAAAAGTGTAAATTGGCATTGTGTGTTCATAGCTTTCGGCCATGGGAGCAAGTGCCAATTTACACTTGTCAGAGGGGTACACAAAGTATGTGATCTAGACTACCAGTTGTCAGACTTTCATTTTTGTGGAAGCCTCGGTGGCTGAGTGGGTTAGATCATTGACTTTGTTTGATGGAAAATAGGTGCCTCACTTTGTCCCTTTTCTGAAATGCCTTTTTCTGCACATATAAGGTGTCATGCATGTAGTGGTTCGAGTACTTCTGTATGATAAATGACAACAAACTGATGATGACAGTAGTGGGTCATGATGACCATTTTCCAATGAGAAGCATTCATTTCATTGAATTACACCAAGGGGCATTGTGTGTGGTGTTTGTGCCTGAACATTATGAAAGCATCCAGATTCAATAACCAAATGAATTGATTATTTTTGTTATACATGCTAAAACATATCTGCAGGTCGCATGGTATAATGAAAGGATTCAAAAGGCTATGCAGCATCTGAGGCATTTAGAGAAACAAATGTGCAGAACAAAAGTCACTGTTAATCATCATATGCACAATGCCCAAAGAAATGAACTGAACATATTGGTTGAAAAGGCAACATTCATCATTTCAATGCATCAATCCAAAAAGCATGAATTTAAAGGAATTGTAAGGTGTTGCAAACACCCTACTTTTCAAGAAGAAACAATCAATTCTTCCTGAAACTATATCACGTGACCAGGAGCAAATGAGTTTCCCAAGTTTTGCACTGATAAACCAGAGACACGCTTTTGCAGTCACCAACAATGGTCACTTTAGGTGCGTGCAGTCCAAAGTTTTTCCAATCTGTTGTGGACTGTCATGCTATTAAACAGCTAGTACTCTGGATATACAGAAGATATTTAAGAGCAGTTCAACTAAATCATGCAATCTCAATCCAATTCCGACATAGCTGCTCAAAGAGTGTTAGGAGACATTAGTAGCAACAGTCACAAATATTGTAAACTTGTCCATTTCAAACTCCAACGTTCCACAACAACTTTAGGAAGTGCGCATCTTCTAAGAATCCAAATGTGGACCCTAATGTACTGAAATCTACAGACCAGTGTTGAATCTACCGCTCCTTTCTAATGTCATCGAGCAAGTCCAGCCAAAAGATCCTATGCTTAACTACAAACTGAATGATATCATGCTATCTGCTTATAAAACAGGCCACATCACCAAAACTGCCTTGAGTCCAGAACAATCTGCTCCATGCAGATGGCTGCAGCATTTCTGGTTCTCCTCAACCTGTCAGCAGTTTTTGACACTATAGATGATGACATCATCCCCAACATGCTGCAATATTACCTTGGAACAACACCAGATGCCCTGGAATGGTTCAGGTCCTATCTCAACTTTAATGGAAATATGTCAGAAAAACAGAAGCTGAATTTAGGAGTACAGCAAGTTTCGTTGTTAGGACACTTATCCCAGTATATATCCTGTCAGTCGGAGACATGGCACTGAGTCACAGCCTACAGTATCATCTGTATGCAGATCTTTGTTGATTAGGTGGACTGTGGCCATGTTGTCACAGTAGAACTGGATGCATAGTCCTGACCATGTGTATCCCCAGAAACTGCTGCTGCGACAATGGGGTACAGTTCCAACAAAGCAATTGATAATTTTTCCCCTGGCTCATGGAAAACTTCTGGGGGCAAGGCAGACGAGAACCAGTGTCCTTGGAAATACCACCAAAACCATGAGCTCCTGAGGCTTCAGTAAACGTTGTGATGTCCAGTGCCTTGACAGTTTCTGTAATAAACATAGAGATTCCGTTCCAGTTGTGTAGAAACTTCCTCCACATGAGAAAGTCAAGTCTGCTGTCTGAGTTGGTCCCGTAAGTGTGGTACGGAATGAGCCAGATATCCGATGAAAGTTCTACCGGCTCTGAAAACCTGCATGGCGAAGTTCATGTACCCGAGAACAACTAACAGCTGGCGTTTAGGGGATAGTAACTCATTTATTATTTGTTGAATTCGGGTGATTTTTGCTTGTGGTAGCCTTGCTTCCATCTTGATGGCGTCCAGAATAATACCTAAATACTCCAGGCATGTCGTTGGCCTTTCCGTCTTGTGGGCTGCTAGGGGAATGCCAAGGTCGTGAAACATCCGCAGAAGTGATGACATTGTTTGCTTGCCTGCAAGTGTTGTGTTTGCAAAACATATGAAATCATCTAAAAGGTGGAGTATATGTTTGATGTCTATCCAACAGATGGCTTGAGAAAATGTATCAAGGATCTTTGCGCTGGATCTACAGCCAAAAACCAACCTGGTGAAGTAATAGTATTGACCTTGCCATTGAGTCCATGTAAGTGGCACAGTGATCCATGTATTGGAATCAATTTGAAAGCATCTGTGATATCTGTTTTGCACATGAGGGTACCTCGTCCTAGCTTCGTTTTGATTGTTATGGCATCATCTGTCCTAACATAGGTGAGCAAGTATTTGTCTTTGGTGATGAGGGAGTTTAAACTGGGGTGTTTCTCATTTTCGTGTGGTGCTGACATATATACGATGAAACACTGCTTCATTTTTGAGTTTTGAGTATATCCCCGCTACCAGTACAATGGGATTGATTTGGTGAACTGTAAAGGGTTGCATTTCAAAGGTCCAATCAAGTATCCATTATCGCATTCTCTAATAATTAATTTTGTCACGATGGCAGCATTGTGGGCTCCTTTTGTTGATTGTAAGTTCTGACATACTTTCAAAACAGGTGGGGGATTTTGAATGCCTGTGTGAAATACAAACATAAATCTAGTCAGTAGTGAGGAAACCATATGTCTATTTGGATGTCGGCCAGTGTTGACCTTAAAATATCAATACGAACTGGTGATTTGATGGCCTGGAATGTCTGGAAATGTTCAGGAACCAGTCACTTGTTCTCCCCAGTATCTCAGACATTTGCATCTGTGCTGGCTTGATAATGTTCTTGTTTACATTTGCTTTGTGGTGGGTTTTTTGACATGAGAGACACATGTGAAGAAATCAAAACTGTGGGTATGAGAACTTCTCATATTTATTCACAGTCTGACTAGGATCTGTGCACACTCTGAACTTGCTTGGGGTCTCTCTGATGAGAACATTTGAGCACCATGGTGTTGGTTCCTCTACCTTTGCAAGGATTCCTGCCTCAATATACTTTTCAAGGGCAGCCTTTTTCTTTTCTCTCTTAGTCACATTGACTCTGTGGATAGGCATCTGGATGGGTGTACCATCGTCTCTCGCCTTGAAATGAACTGGAGGTCCAAGACATCCCACACCTTCAAAGTTCTCAGCACATCTTCCTTTGTGAGATCTCCAGTGTCATTTAAGTGTCATCTTGCTGTTACTGTAATAGGCTGTGATGGTACTGGTAATGGTACAGAACAGTGACCGGTTACTCTGTTATGTAATGTATCAAGTTGGTTACATGCACATAGAACCTGGTCACCGTCATCCTCTCTATGAGCTTGACTATCAGTTTCAATTTTTATCAGAATCCTGTTGCGACAGAAAACCAGGAAGAACCTGGAATGTCAAATCACTCACAGATCGATTCCACCTGACCATGCCCTTGTGAGGCCCTCGTCAAACACCACAACGGTGACATGTCCCAGGTTCCCTTCGTAACTTATTTCACTGCGTTTGGTCCAATGCACTAGTTGCTCTGTATCCCTTGTCGACTCGTTAATTACCTTGTTGGCTTTCTGTACAGATTCTCAGGTTTTTGCTTCATTGATAACATCGGACATTAGTTCCAATGTGTTGTCTGATTTCAGATGTGTCTTTAGACGTTCAGTTCTAATACACTGAAAGGCAAAAGTAACGTCACTTCTGAAAATACTGATAAAACTTAACAGACACTGGCAGTTACATGTTCTGTGGTCAATAAACTCATTTATTGTTCTACTGCTTCTTTTTGTTGCCTTAAAGTCCATTTAACAATTAAGTTTAAAATGGAGTGCTTTGCCCAAACACAGCCTACAAAAGTCCAATGGGACTCAGTTGCGGAAAAGTCTTGTCAAAAACATGATGCACGTGCATATCGTGGATGGTATGGGTATAAAAGACACCCAAAACTGTTAAGCTGGCTTTCGTTATTTCGATTCATCAGCCATGCCAAGATTATCAGGAAATGAGAGACAACAAGCGATCGGAAGACTGCAAGCAGGCCAGAGTCCACAGGTCGTTGCAAATGCATTCAATGTCAACGTCAGAACGATATATCATTTGCAACATCACCACAACACCACCAACACCACCGACGACCGACCGCGTAGTGGTCATCCTAGAGTCACTACTCCCAGACAAGATCGGTTCATGATACGCCAACATCTGCAGAACCGATTCCGAATGGCCACTGAAACAGCTTGGCAAACCATTGGCAACCACCAGCGTGTCATCAGTGATCGTACAGTCCGACGTCGCCTAACTGCCAACAACATTTGAATCCCATTGAACACTTGTGGGATGAGATCCAACGCCGACTCAACGACGTACGCCCAAGGCCGACAACTTCAGCAGAACTGGGTGTAGCGTTCCTGAGGATATGGGCCCATATCCCAATGGCCTTCATCAACAGGCTAGTCCACTTCATGTACAGGAGATGTGTGGCTGCAGTCAACACCCGTGGTGGCCACACCAAGTACTGATTTTGAATCCCCCAGCTGTGATGTCTTCTGGGGCCTTCCCAAATTCACAATTCGCAAAAACATTCCCCAGAGTGTTAATTTCATGTGGGTCAAACACTGACTTCTCCGATGTCTTTACTTACATATATAAGCATTTGAAAATAAAGATATTATATGATACATCCACATGACGTTTCTTTTGCCTTTCAGTGTATTACTGTCATGGAGACCAAAAACAAACCTGTCATGACATCTCATCAGCTAAATGCAGTATGATCATACAAACTGCCTGCTTGCCTGACCTTGACCTCGTAATCATGCACTGTTTCATGTGTTTGTCAATTAGTGCCCCTAAACCTTAATCTGTCAGTCATATGCGTGCTCCTGATTGTTCCAGTATAGAAAATCAGAAGTTTGTCCGTCCATATCCATGGTTTTTTTTACAGTCAACTTCAGATATCTGGGGTTCAATTGTTTATCTGATTACCTGCAATGCTTCATTTGGCATCGCCGATCTGAGCATGGATATTATAAGTTGTGGTTTCTTGCAATACCATTTCGTGCTGTTGTGCTGTTTGCAGTCCATGCTCGTCCACATTTTGCATGTGCAAGTAACGTAACTAACTACCTCCAGCAGAAACACATATCCAGAATGCAGTTAATACTTATCCTATCTCACACAAACTATGCCCGCCCATCCATCCCCGCATCACAATTACACAGCCTGTCAGCTCCAAGAAAGAGAATGATGAGGCAGAGAGTGTCAGGTGATCAGCGCATGTGCGGCAAGCTGCAAGCAGCAAGAGACCTGATGTCGCCATAGTGATGCATGGGGGGTTCAGGCAAAAGAAGCTTAAAAGATGGAAACTTTGTTTTGGGATGTTTCCACACAAGGAGCATGAGATTGTAGTTTGAGATAGAATAAGTATCATAAATATACAATTAACTGTAAAATTTACAATATTTCGTTGATAAAAGGATATGTGTTATTATCAGCTAATTCTAACATTTTCAACAATGTCAAAGCTTGCAATTGCAGGCCAGTTTCTGGGTGATAGCGTTTATCTAGGTTTGTCAGTGTATTATGTTATGTGAGCGTTTGAATGAATTCTCCATCTAGGCAACTGGTACGAGTGGCCAAACATCTCGTACAACTTTGCCTTCATTGTCAGGTTGCAGTTTTACCTTTTTATGATCCCATTTTATGAATCCATTTGACATTTAATTTTGTTTTTTTTACAGCCAATCACAGTCAAGATAGATGTGTCTGTTTGATGAGTGATGTATTCAGAACCTCAACCTTTTTTGTGAAGCAACTACAGACGATCCATGAGATTGATACTACTATCATGGAACTGTTCTGGGTGAACAATACCTTCCAAATGGCGTGCTGGTTTTCTTGGGGAATTAGTCAGCAAAGAGCCAGAGTCACAGGAGACTAATCACAATTTTATTTACAAGAACAATTAACAATTTACAATATACTTAGATAATAACTGAGGGTGCCACAGAGAGTCGGTACACACTCTGGGCTGTGGGAGAGAGGTCTGCTTGGTAAGAGAGTCAAACCCCTTCTCTTTCCTAAAACCTACCTACAGTATGTATTTAACAAAAATTTGAACAATAAAAAGGAAGGGGATTGGTTGATACACGATTGGTTGTGCCCTATGCTAAATGGATGGCTAGACAGAGGGGAATACTAAATCCTGTTAATCCTGTTGGACTGGCACTAATCTTGTTGACATATTTACTGGATGCTTTGAAAGAGATTAGGGTGTCACTATAGATGAGCTTGTGTGGGGGCTAATCCTTAATGCCCTATAGACGAGCTTGTATGGGGGCTAATCCTTAATGCACTATAGACGAGCTTGTATGGGGGCTAATCCTTAATGAGTCTTAATTGAAGTAATGTTATTCTAATATACCCCGGTAGGTGATGACAGATATACTTAAATAAATATCCTTTGTCTGGGAGATGGGATCTTGATACCTTAGGCTAGCATTTATCTAAAAGCTTCAAATCAATTAAACTATGTAGACGTAACTCTTGTCTTATTGAATAGTATGTCTAGAAGACGCGCTCCCATTACCTTAGGCTAGCAACCATCTAAAAAGCTTTAACTGAAACTACTGATATTTTATATATGCATTTTACATAATGATAATTATTACTTGCTAAACTATAATTATATGAAAGGATGTATAAATATTACGCCATGATAAAAGCACTTGATGTAGATCGAATTATTATATGATAACTTAGTATAAATGTTATCCCATGATACTACTTTGAAGCTTGAAGTTGTTGCTGGAAGTCAAGATTCCGAATAATAAGGTCAATTTTTTACTTATCCTGCATTACTCCTTAATGCATTCACTGCTTACTTACGACAACTAGAAGGACAGCGCTGCGAAGGTCCTGGGTGAAGAAATAAAGTTGTTGTTCTGAAGTCCCAATCAGTGGCCTTCCGTCGCTGTCCTGTGACCTTGATGACACCTAAGGTCATCTTCACATCACTGCTTGTCGCAGCACAGCTAGGACCTGTCCAAGCGGAGCTCTCCTTTTGGATTAATTTTAGACCTTCAGTTTGTCTACAATCTTAAAAATTGATCTGCGATGGGTGATGTATTCTTTTCATATTACTTTCACCATGATTGTGTAGTTTTATGTGAATTAATTAGGCGTGAAAAGACTCTTGTCTTTTTTCCTGCCAAAATATTGTTGTTCGCCGCCATTTTGAATTGTGTTACAATCGTTTGCCTGCCAAGGTAGTCATATTGTTTACAATTCTCAGCTACGTATGTATAACATATTCTTATATTTTTAAATACTACTAGCTTTGGCGTAACAGTGAGTTTCGTATACTAAAATTATTGTATACTTTTTCAACTCGTTAAAAATATGGTTGCCGATAGATTAATATCAAATCTACGGCTTTCTTCCAGTCCCGCTTCATCAACAATTCTTTTATTGCGTACCTATGTTTATGCGATTAAATAGTTTTTTGTTGGTATTTTTGGTTTTACATTGAGTTGCGTATATGAACGTTGTATATTCTTGCAACTCGCAGTTTTTGCCGATAGATTATTGTTCAATTCTATGGCATTCTTCCAGTACCGCCTCATCAACAATGGCGTAATTGTGTAATTGAGCGTGGTACTAATTGTCGTGGGAAAATCTTACAAAGATTATCATCCACGTTGTTTGGTTTGCGCGCAAATGTGCTCTCCAAACCCTAAATGAAAATATAAATACCCTTGGTTTACATTGAGTTGCGCATACAAAAATATTGAATACCCTTGCAACTCATAAATTTGCCGATAGATTAGTGTTCAAATTCTTCGGCACTCTTCCAGTATTGTCTCATCAACAAGGGTTTAATTGCGTAACATACCTTTGAGCATTGTACTAATTGTCGTGGAAAAAACCTTACAAAGATTATCATCCACGTTGGTTGGTTTGCGCGCGGATGTGCTCTCCAATCTCTAAATGTAAATAGCCTTGGTTTACGTTGAATTGCGTATATAAAAATATTGTATACCCTTGCAATTCATATTTTTGCCGATAGATTACTGTTCAATTCTACGGCATTCGTTCAGTACCATTTCTTCAATGGGTTAATTGCGTAACTTATGTTTGCGTGGTGTACATATTGTCGTGGAATAATCGCCCAAACCTCTTTATCCACGGTCATAGGCATGCACGTAGATGTGCTCGCCAAAATTCAAAATGTAATTTTTGTGTAAATCTCTAATCCAACGAGTTTACTATATAAAAGCAGATTACTCACAATCATATTTTGCAGTTATTCCGTCGTGAGACGAGAGGAATGTCACTATTGCAGAATAGCGAATGACATATGGTTCTGTCATTACCACCCAACCGTTATTATCGGCAGGTATTATGACGCCTGTGATTGCAGAAGTACACCATCCACCGAAATCAACAATACCGGAGGATTTTGTGAGTATCGTAACTGCTCCTATTTTTTCAGCCGCCGGACATTTCCAGATACATGTATGATAATCTGTGACGTCGGCGACAGCACCAGCACCAGCGTATCGAGATGCTATGATGGGGGTAGATTAGACGTAAGCCTTGATCCAGTCAATACTTTTGAGCTTTGTGTCTGATTTATCTGCGCCGAGCGCAGCACTTGACTACAACCCAAGCACTTCTATTACGCAAGCGGCGCACGATCAGCTTAGCGCTGTTCCAACATATCCAGCATAGACCTGCGCCGAGCGCAGCGTCTGACTGCTACCCAAGCGCTTCTATTACGCAAGCGGCGCACGATCAGCTTAGCGCTGTTCCAACATATCCAGCATAGACCTGCGCCGAGCGCAGCGTCTGACTGCTACCCAAGCACTTCTATTACGCAAGCGGCGCACGATCAGCTTAGCGCTGTTCCAACATATCCAGCATAGACCTGCGCCGAGCGCAGCGTCTGACTGCTACCCAAGTAGTCAAGTTCCCAAAAAGCTTGGAAAGTCCAAGCGGGCTGGCAAGTCAGGGAATTATAAGCCTAGACGCGCGTTTCTCAGGGAAGACCAGCATTCCCTTACTGAGAAAGGGAGTGGCAGAGACAAGTCTCAAGGACGATTTCGTACTTATCGCACTACATCGTGGTGTCCGTATAAGGGTAGAGATAACCCCACCGTTGATCAGTTTGATTGGGAAAATCCAACATAGACATACTGTTGGTAAGAAGAGCTGTAGAGTGGGTTCACAACCCAGTCTTTACTCCGGGGTTTTATCCTCACACGTACCTGGTACTCATGAAGGACCCAGACAAGATGAGAATGATCCACAATCTCTGTGTTCAACAAACGTTTGATTCTTCATCAGTCTCGACTATCCATCCCAACCGTAGACTTTTCAGGTCCAGTTCATTGGGGTTCACTACCAATGGTAGTATTTCCCATTTGACATGTCAGTGACACTTATGGCTATTTACAGGAGTAATGAAGCCAATAACTATCTACACGTGACGAACACTTGGTTCGAGTCGTATCATCAACACATGTCAATAACTGGGATAGACAATCAACGAGGCGAAGTCGGGAGTATTCTCCTTCCTATTGACTTCAGTTCATAGGAGACCTGTTCAAGACAGACCAGGATATCCTATCTGTACCGAGGGACAGATGGCACAAGTTTCTACTTCTTTTGTCATCTACTCTACACCAACCACACACACTTCGCCAGTGGCAAGTGTTGCTAGGGTTAATCACCTCGGCACAGGAGTTAACTAGCATGGGCCGCTTACAACTGCCACCAATTCAATTTTTTCCTGAACCCTTACATCAGGAGTCAGGATCCACTCAAGGTTACACACAACCAAATGTTTTCCCATAGACTTCTATAGTAACGTTATAGCTTTTTAAAAAATAACTAGGCATTCAACAGCCATTACATTTACATATGTGCACAGTCTGGCCTTAAAGCTGCAATAAAAACACAAACTTTGGCTAGGTTACCCAGCTCCTTTTCCGAGTACAGGAAGCTGAACACACCAACCCCAGTTCCGCACCAAATATCACCTGCTTGAAAATATCTGTGCTCACATAAAGCACAAGTCATCTTGTTCAAAAAGTCAGCACCAAATATTGAAAAATATGGGCAGTTTTAATTACTGGATGGATGTGCATTTAAAAGACATAAAAATCTTACACAATATCATCCAATCACAGCCTGCATATGTCTCTTGATCTGTACTGAAGGCTCCCTACGAAAACCGCACTGTCACAACCAGTTCTGATTTAGTGTAGTAGAACCTCAAGGCCATCACTCTACCGATTAAGCTAGAGCCTTGCCTCAATTTGTGGCCCTGAATGTCTGCGGAGTCTGTTTATTCAGGTTTTCCCCGAATACACACCTGTTTGTGGACGTCCCCTTTCAGGGGTGGAGTCTTCACTTACAAGACCAGATAAGCTCAGGGCTATGGCCCGGCGCACAATGGAAGTGGCACATAAACAACTTGGAGTTGGAAGCTTTAATTCTGGCTATATCACATTGGCAGAATCAACTACAGTTAGCCCGACTCGCTATATCCACAGACAACAGCACTGCGGTGTGGTGCCTGTGCAATCGGGGAACAACACACTCCCACTCTCCACTTCTAAGGACATTCAGATTTCTTCCATCTAGTGGATCGGCTGTGACTAAGGTTCATAGTTCAGCACATCCCCGGATGTAGAAACATACTGGCCGATACTTTATCACGTCCAGACAGGGTGGCTCCCACCGAGTGGAAATTTCTCACAGAAGCATTCCAGTTACTGCTTCAGGAATTCAGGCAACCAAACATTGACTTGTTTATTACTTGCCTAGGCCACCAACTCATGACGTATATCTCCCCGTTGCCGGATCCGCAGACTTGGGCGGTGGACGAGTTCAGTATCACTTGGGAAGGGCAAAGAACTAACACTCTTCTGCCACCACTTTTACTTCCCAAGGTGCT